AAATTATATTAAAAGTTTTTATAAAAAAAAAAATAAAAATAAAAAATATATACCAATGAAGTATGATTTTCCATATATTCATAATTTTTCTTTTGTATTAATATTTAGCTATATATTTTAAAGTGCATTATAAATATTTAGTTTATTGTATTCAGCTCATGTGTAAGCAAAGAAATCATTAATCAATACATGAAGAGTATACAAATCTGTATCATTAAGCTAAATGCTTGAGCTAATATCAATCAACAACAACARAAGATTGCGCTTACAAATTAGTCGATCTGACAACAATGAGGAAGCTGTCGACAAGCTGCCATTTACCACAGCACACCCAGCTAAATGCCAATGCCAATCCCCGGTACAGTTTGAGCTGCATTGCCGCAGTTGCAGAGGCGCTGCGCCTAGTTGGGGAATTGGAATCACATTCGGCTGGGGCATGTCAAATGTGGGCCAGACATAAATCTCTAGCAACGTTTACACTTGAACCGCCACAAAGTTTGAGTTTGTGTAGTTTTTGGGCGTTTCTCTTCAAGGTGATCGACGTGAGGTGCCGAGGATTTGTTTATGAAAATGAGCACTGAATGAAATAATTGTAAACCAGATCGTTGCACTGCAGGTGCTTCACAGTGCTGCTGCCTTTTAAGCCAGTGTCAAATTTGGCAGATGCGTCATAATATGTTTTGGCTAAGCAAAAAGAAAAAAAATGAAAAAAAAGAAGAAAAAATGAGTCAAATATTTTATGCTTATTATGCTTCACCTGTCTTCGAGCAGACGACAAATGTGCGTGTGCCTCGCATGTTCATTCACACACACATATGCATATATATACATGATCTAAAGTATATTCAAAATAGAATTTAATATTCGTAGCACATCTGAGTCAATCGGAATTATGCACAAACGCGTGCAGTGCTAACTTATAATAGCTGATTTATGGCATAGTTAACGCCGATCCGGTGGCTAAATAATCTAGAGTGGAATATTACCGCACTTAACATATCTACTAAGCTACAATTATAGACCATATTATTTATGTCAACTCTTTGGCAGGCCGATAAAATGTTCTCGTTTGCTTGTAACAAAAACTACTTACGGAGCCGGTTCGTTGACGTCATCTGAAGCATTAAGTAATGCTAGTGCTTCTGAAACTGTAAGTGTAAACAATATGTATTAGATAATTTGTAAGCAGCTCTATTGCAATACTATATATAAACTATACTACATATAAATATATGTAAATATTTGCTGCTACAAAACAATTAACGTGCGGCCTGATTGATTTATTGGCATCGTTTATTTTGACAGGAGGCGATTGAGACTGTGGCAGTTATTAAGAACTGCATCAATTTATTAGCAGCAAGGGGAAGAAATATAGAATTAATAGTGAATATTCTAGTGGAGGATTTCCATTTAGAAGATATCCCAATCTCTGCTATTTCCTGCACTATTTCCTGCTTTGCAATACAATGCGAATGATTATAAATGATATGTTTATTCTCCCTCCCAATTAAGATGCTCACTTCACTTCCTGAATAGCATGAAGTACATTATAAAAGAATGTAGAGCAGCAGAAAAATTCAAAATATCAGGATATAGTATTGCATATATGTTCTGATTCCTAATGAAAAGAAAATTTTGTAACTTTAACGCTAAGAGTGGTTCCGATGTATTATTTATGGCCTGACAGCAAACGCCGTCAGGCACAATCAAAAAATTCAATTTAGACTCATTAGAGTGCTCCTCTCCACGGAAATCTTTAGTAAAAGGCGAAAGATTTATTCGACAACTGAAGAGAAGCCAGAGTAAAGAAACTGTGAAAACCAACCCCGATGTACTCTAGGACATGCTTGAACTCCTTGGGAATTCTAACTTAGAAGCAGTTCAACAAACAATCTGAAGCAGGCAGAGCGAAATTTATAATTAGGGTGGGTTTCTCTTTCAGAGTTGCTACCTGAAAAAATTACTCTAGTAAATTGGGTTGTCAAAAATAAATAGATAAATATGAATGATTAGAATAAAATGTTTATTATCTAAGCTAATTTAGTTGAGAGCTGTAATTTATATACTATAAAGCACTGCAATACCCTAGAAGTCGATTTACTATGAATTTATTAATATATATAATACGTAAATATATAATTAAATATTCTAATGTACAACAGAATAAATTACATAATTAACAGCTTCGACTTTGACGGCAACTAATAGTCTGATCTTTGCCCTAATAAAAATAAAAATCATGTAACAGCGTTGAAACTCAATTGAATAATATTCAATAAAGCCATAAATTGCGTCTAAGTAGTCACGATTCTCATTGGAGATGCAAAATAATGCATTAGCCGTAATTTAGACATAAACAAAGTGCCTGTATACCATTGGCAGTCGCTCTAAAACTGTTGGCTATTGCTCAATTTCACTTTAATGCCTGCACTTGGGCACTGCCTACGATAGACATACATATATTTCAATTAAAATATATATAGATAGCAACACGATCTCAAGGTCAGCGTGTCGTGCACTTAACCCCATTAGCTGGCTGCCCTCTAGGAAGGGGGCCGTTTCGAAATGGGTGCCTAAACTGGAGCATGACCAAAACAAAAGTAAACTAAAACCTGTTTCAATGCGCCTCAGTTTAATAATGACAAATAATTGCAAGTGCGGATTTATTGGAGGTAACCTGCTTTAATTCAGATACTTCAATCATACAAAATAATTACCTAAGGCATTCACAACAACGTATGTGCATATATACAAGTGTTCTAGAGCCTGAGGCTCATTTCGGTGGCTGGATAAACTGATCGATGGGCACATGCTGCAGTGCCTCGTTGATCAGACGCAGCATAACAGGAGCCCACGATTGCCGCGTCTCTGGCAAGATAATGCCGTAGATGTCACGCCAATAATTGTTGGCCACACTCAATGCGAGCTCATCTGTGGAGGAAATTCGGCTTAGAGTAGTGAAATTAGAATCCAAATGACGATTCACACATACCCAATTCAGGATCGCCAAAGATGCCATTGGCCTTGATGACCAGATCACGAACAGTGGGATTCGCCTCGATATCCTTGAGACGCAAGAATCGTAGACCATCCTTGGTATAAAATTCACCATCCATGATCACACGGTTCTCCACATCAGCTGCAATCAAAAACCATATATATATATATATATCGATATATATCGATTGCCAGAATATGATGTCTACCTACATAGCGTTAGGTTGAATGTGCCCTTGGGTTTCAATTGCAACGAGTTCACCTGCAATTCTGCCTTGTAGTCGCCCAAGATATTCATCTTGGGTATTTCCGAAACGGTTCGTAGCTTGACCTTATCCCCTTTGACCTTGACATTTACATCTTTGATCTTGTGCTCGGCGAAACCATAGAGCTTAACATTACGCACTGAAATCTTTCCATTGACCGCACCACTCGAGTACTGGAAACTCAAGCGGTCTATGACGAAAGGATCGTACGGCTCGATGCCTAGCTCGGGATCGCCCAGTCGCAAACGTGGTATTAGCTCGTTCATAATAATCTTGATGCATTCGCCAGCGTGATCGGCGTCGTTGGGACACTTGGGCAAGTCATTAGCTGCCAATAGAATAATAAACCTCGTTATACGCTGCGTATGCGCAATGGCATTCAAACACTTTATACACACTCATCAGGTATTTTGGCTCAGCGGGTGCTGCATAAACTCCGCTGGCCCAAAGGCAAATCGTTGCCAGCGCAATATAATGCATGTTGTTTAATGTGATATAATAATATAATATATATTATTTGCGATCGGATCAGCTGAGTCCTCGTCAACCTGCTGTTAGAATGATCCGCCTTAGACTGAGTCGATCGAGCACTGCTTGGCGCTATTTAATTCTCAGATTTAGCACAGGCACATTGCGAGTAACGGGCACGACATTAATTTGAAGTTAGTCGTTTCCACTAAGCTTGGAAAATTGTACTTGTAAATCAACGATAAAACATTACCGACACATCGACTTCGACTGATTGAAAACCGGCTCGGCGACTGCGATATTTATTATAATGCCGAATCATTAAGTGGAAAATGATTCGAACAAAAAACCGACAATTGTCAACTGAACTTCGACAATGACAATGATTTGCATTAATATAGTTTTAATAATTTACTATTGACAACAAATTCAACTTGTGCGTTTAACGGTTAGCTAATTATACCCTGTAACCATATGAAGTGTCTTCGAGACTTTCATAATCGATCAAAGAATTTTTTTGGCAAATCATATTTTCTGTTCAAATATTTGTTAATTGCAGCTTCTTTAACTTTTCATTAAATAATATTCATATGTAGTTTAAATATATGTAAGTGTTTTAAGCATTGATTTGGGGCTTGAAAAGGAATTAATTTGCTGTTTGAAAATTGTGCATATCATAAAATTAAATTAATATTTACCATTCATCGAAGCCCATTTAATTAGTTATGTAGTTAATTAGTTATGAAGAAATAACTTCCGCGCTAATATTTAACATTTAAATGAAGTTATACTACTCTAGTTGGGAGTACCAGACTAAAAAATACCCTTGCTTACTTAAACAATGCTTACCATTTGAAGTAAGACAAATACGGCTCATACCAGAAGATTCCTCTGAAATAAGTTTAATAATATAATAAATACTTTCGTTCTATCAATATGAATTTGTGCGATAGGGGAAATGTCTATGCATTGTAGAACATCGCCAATTTTTATACTCTTCTTTCGCAGCTTCTGTCATAAGAACTTTTCTTAAGGAATTACAGGTGAATATTTCACATTCATAAATTGAGTGGCTTCGATAAATTTAACTTAAGCAGAACAGGGTATTTATTATTTAAAAACAAATAGAAGAAGCTATGCTAGGAAAGCAGCTTTGTCTAAAATTCAATTTCTTCAGTTTTTGCCAATGCGTTTATAGGGAGAGAAAATCTTCTCGACTATTGATACTAATCACTATTCAATATTTCAGATATTCATTCTTATTCAATATCAACAGACGAGATAATTAAAATAGAATAGATGTATAATTATAATATATCTCTTATATACACACATTTACACATCAACATTAACATACCCATTTTCAATAGCTGCAGGGTAAAGCAAAAACTCGTTTATTAATGCATATGATTACAGGTGTTGATTTTATTGGACTTAACCTGATTTAATTAAAATATAATAAGGACTAAAGCTCATCATAATGTATTATATACATACAAGTGCTCTAAGGCTCGAATCTCATTGGGATGGCTGGATGAACTGGTCGATGGGCACGTGCAGCAGGGCCTGATTGATCTGGCGAAGCACAACAGGAGCCCACGCTGGTCGTGTCTCTGGCAGAACAATGGCATAGATATCCCGCCAGTAGCTATTGGCTATATTCACGGCTAGCTCGTCTGTGAAAGAAATTCAATTAGATGCAATTAGAATGCAATTTTCGCATACAAGGAGGTTTACCCAATTCAGGATCCGGAAAGATGCCATTGGCTTTAACGATTAAATCACGAATTTTTGGCTCTATTTCGATATCATTGAGATGCAAGTATCGAAAATCATCCTTGGTGTAAATGTCGCCATTCGCGATCACTCGAAACGCTGTATCAACTGAAGGAAATCAATTTATCCACAATATAATATAAAGTTGGATATCAATTTAATGCAAATTTTATCTACTTACAAAGTGTTACATTGAAGAAACCCTTGGGCTTCAGCTGTAGCGAGTTCACATTCAATTCCCCCTTGTATTCGCCAAGCATATTTATCTCTTTCATATTCGAGAGAACTCGCACCTTGACCTTATCCCCATTGACTTTAATATTCACTTTGTCGACCTTTTGCTCGGCGAAGCCGTAGATCTTAACATTTTTAACCGAAATCTTACCATCGATCGGTCCAGTTGAGTACAGGAAACTTAGGCGATTTATGACTAGAGGATCGTAGGGCTCAATGTTCAGCTCGGGATCACCAAGTCGCATGCGTGGTATCAGCTCATTCATAAGGATCTTGATACAATCTCCCACCTGCGCGGCATCCTTGGGACACTTGGCCAAGTCCTCGTCTACCGATAGCAATCGAAAATTGTGTTATACACTGCGTATGCGTAATGCCATTACAATACGCCGTACACACCCGTTATATACTTTGACGCCGCGAGCACGGCACGAGGTGCATTAGCCAAAAGGCAAATCGCCAATAGCGCAATATATTGCATGCTGTTCCAATTGATATGCTGGCAATATTCCTTGGGATTTACTTAAGTGATCAACCTTCTGTTAGCATGATCCGTCAGAAACTGAGTCGGACGGGCGCAGCATTGTCGTGTTTTATTCTCGGAAAAATCAACAACAGTTTAAATATGGGAAAAGTGCATATCTAGTTCAACAAATATCCCACATCGACTGACCCCAAGTTCTCCATTGTCAAAAGATAATGATTTGTGTTAATAATTTTAATAGTTCCTAATTAGAAACAAGCAGAACCTAAGCGCAAGCCCCCTAATAATTGTATACTTTAAGCACTTGAAGTGGTTAGACTTCTAGTCAAATGGGAAGGTATATATTGTATATGATGTATATATGGCATAGTTAATTTCAATTTTAATTATATATTTGTGAGTGCTTCTGTATCTTTACTTTGTAGTCTATCGTTAATAATAGGATATACATACACGAATAAATAGATCATACATATTCTTGCTATATAAATTCTTGCTTCAGTAATGTTTCTTTGCTCAAGTTGCAAACATTTTAATAAAAGAAATCTACCCCGATACGAATATTCCCAATTTATATTTTTTTAAAACTGATTTTATAAAGAAGATCTATACTGCTCGAGTAAACCTGAAGCTATCTATATAAAATGTAATGTTTTCGGTAAATATCCCAGTCTAAAATCGGGATTTTATTTTTATTACTATTATGTTATTATGTTAGATCAGAATTGGTGCCTTAATTGTTGCTAAAGTGTTTCTTTTGAAAGAGAAATAAAATAATACTTGAAATATTCCAAACAAAAATCTAGCTATGATCAGTAAAAAAAAAAATATTGTGAAGTAAGTGTGGTTTATCAGAGCTAAAGGATAGAAGGTAATCAATATATGTCCTAAATTGCGATATTTAATTGGTTCAGAGTATTGAAATTATTCTCTTATTAACTTAACATTCAGAATGCCCATTTAAATTTGGGTTTAGAGTATAAGGAGAGAAATATATATGAATTCTCTAGACATTTAGTCAATTGTTGGTACAATGAGTTTAAATTTGGCTAATTAGTATAATTAATTTAGATTTACTTAATTAATTGAATTAATTATACCCTACAATTATTAATCTTTTAATGACTCTAGAATCTAAAAACTCATTCAAAAAATTCAATTGAAATTTCATTTTATTTGCATACAAACTAAATTAACACCATGAATAAAGCACATAACCATATAGTAATACGATCGTGTAGAGACTACCACATGCAGACCGGCCCCGCCCACAAAGCTAATTCTGTTTGAGAATCAAGTCGAAGGGCAGAGCAGCAAAGAACTCATTGGCCAGCTTGAGCATCTGGGGCTCCCAGATGGCCATTGTTTCGGGCAGCATGGCTTGATAGAGCTGGCGCCAATATTGATTGATAAAGTCCAAGATGACATCGTCTGCAATCGAAAGGCAAATTGTTTAAGTTAATGCGCATCTTTTGGCCGTTTGCTGAACCTACTTAGGGCTGGGTCGGGCACCAGGCCATTGGCATAGATGCGCATGTCGCCCACTTTGGGCTCAGACTCGAGCTTCGACAGACGCAGATAGGTGTGACCGTCGCGCTCGTATAGTTCGCCCATGGCGCGCGTTTTCATGCTGACGTCGCCTAAAATGTCAAATGTGTGTGTGTGTGTGTGTGTGTGTGTGTGTGTGTGTGTGTGTGTGTATGGATGACACAGTAATTATCGTAAATTCGATGTTTGAGTACATATAATATTGACGCATACATACTCAGCGTTACATTGAAGGTGCCTTTCGGAGTTATCTTCATGTCGTTCAGTTTGATGTCCGCCTTGTAGGCGCCCTCTGCCAGCATTTGTGGCACATGGCTGATCATCTCCATGCGCACACGATTGTTCTTCTGGCGGTAGTCCACCTTGTCGACGATGCCCTCGCTGAGGCCATGAACCGCCACATTTCTCATGGCAATGCGGCCCTGGAGCATGCCCGAATTGTAATTGTAGGAGCTCTTGCCCAGCTCAAAGGGATCCATGGGCGGTATGTTGAGGTCGCTGATGCCGTTCTTGAGGCGTGGCGTCAGCTGCTGAAAGCCCTGTTTGATGCACTCGTTGATATTATTGTCCGACTGATGGCAGGTCGGTATATCGTCAGCTGTTCAAATTAAAAACATGATTTTCCATTCAGTGATTCATGATTCAAGTGGAACATTCAAAATAAATAGAACATGCACGCGCATTGCCCTTGACACACATCAGAACGCATCTCGTATCGGCTGTGATCCATGAGGCCTATGCTCAGAACGTGACATTTGGCCAGTCGAGAATTTTGTTGCCGCTAATCGATGCCGTGCATAATTGCGATTCTCCCCGGCCCCGTCGGCGAAGCGTCGCGCGCGAGCTTTTTAATTGCCGGCTATGTTAGATAGATATTTACAAAATGACTTAAAAGCACATTTATTGTTTGACAAAAATGCCAACATTCAATTGCAAGTGCTTTGCGCTGAGCATTGACGAAGCGTTTCGTTTCATTTTATGGCGCATATCGCTCTGTCGCATCACTGAAGGCTTTTTGCAAACACAAATGCAAACGGCCGCTGCGACGGGAGAAGGCCGCTTAGCGGAAGTGGCAATCGACTGCGGCCTACAAAAATATAACGACTTAAAGACCTAAAAGCTTCTGATCTTTATGTCTTCAGCGAATAGCAGTCAAGGCTTCTAACAATTCTATTTTTTACTTATTATATTTTACTGTGAATTTTATTTACCATTTTTATACTTTTAAATT